GGGGGGCGGGGGGGTGAGCGGCTGGCGGCGGTTGGGCGGCGGCTTTTGCCTCGGTCAGGCGCAGTGGACGATTTTGGATTGGTTTCGGGCGAGGGGGATGGGAGGGATGGATGGAGGGGAGGGTGTGTGTAGATGGGGTGGATGGGTGTAATGGCATGATGGTGTGATGGTGTGATGTGGTGACGGCTTGTGGAGGGTCGTCCATCGGTCACTCGTCACGCAGGGATCACAGCCGACGACGAGCGGGCGGCGGCGGCGGAGGAGTGGCGGCAGCGGCAGTCTTCTCGATCCACCAGATGTAGATAAAGATGCAGCCGACAGCGATGGCGATGAGGAGGAGGGTGACAAGGGCGATTGAGTACTTGTTTTGGAGAAGAAAGTTGGTAAACTTCTTGTCGAGCCGCCATGGGGCGTATGAATCGCGCGGGCGGTTGGGCGGCGGGAGGTAGGGATTGGCGTTGGGATCCTTGCGACCGAGGCCGACCGGGTAGGCCTGCGCGATGTGTGCGGGGAGGAGCTCGAGTGAGATCTCGACCTTACCCGAGACCCCCTCAAAGGCCGGATGCGACATCTTGACCCACTGCTTCTTCAGCTGCTTGCCGTCTTTCATGCGGCGCGCGGAGCGCATAAAGGCCGAGAGATCGAGGTTGGCCTCACAGAGCGCGTCGTTGGCGTTGAGATAGTCCTTGTCGTAGACCTGGATCTTGAGGCGGGCGTTGGCGGTGTGCGAGCCGCCGAGGATGACCTCGTCCGAGCCAAAGACAAACCGATAGTTGAAGTTGCCCTCACCGTTTTTGGACCGGTAGTGGATGTCCGACTTTTGCGGCTTGCCCTCGTTGTACCGCATGTTGATGAAGATGTCCGACATGTTCTTGTCGCGGAGCCGGACCTTCTCGGTGTTCCACACCACAACACGCAGCTCAAACGGCTGCGGCAGGTGGGTGGCGAGCGAGACCGGCGGGTTGCGCCGCGCGTAGGCCGGCTCGAGGATGTCCACAAACATGTCCAATGCGCTCTGCACACCACGCGAGGTCGGCGAGAACAGCTTGCGCGTCTCGATCGGCTTGAGCGTCCACCTCTGCCATTTGCGCGAGAAGTACCGGTCCTCAAGGTCAAAGCTGGTCGCACCAATGAGGTCGTTGCTCGAGTACTTGTCGTAGTCCCAGATCTCGACAGACACCTCGCCTGCGCCGACCAGCATGGTGTCAAACTGGTAGCACCGCGCAAACTCGGGCGACGAGTTGGCCTTGAACCGGTGCTTGACATCGTCGATGACCTGCGTCTTGCCTGCCCCATGCCGAATGACCACGAACGGGTCGCACGAGCCCGACGAGTCGCTCGGCACAAGTCCGACTGCACGGAGGACGTAGACGCGAACAACAAACGGGCGCGGCGCGCCCATGAGCTCCGTCCGGATAGACTTGATCTTGGCAGCCGGCACCGGCTTGGTCGTCCCGTACAGCTGGTCGCTCGACGACGATGGCGACTCGTGGTAGACATCGCTGCTACTGAGCGGCGTCGACTCGTCGTCAGAGTCCTCGTCCGAGGCGAGCGACGACGAGCCCGTCATCTCGTCCGACGATGAGACGTGCGAGTCGAGCTCGGCCGGCTGTCGCCGGCGTCGCTTCTTGCGCTGGGCCTTGGTCTTGCGTCGCTTCCGGCGAGCCGCCTCTTGCTCCTCATCGTAGCTCTCCTCCTCATCGTCAGACACGTCAGAATCCTCGGTGCTACTCGACGCGCTACTCGCGGCCGAGTCGGACACGTACTCGTCGTCACCATAGTCGTCTGATGTCGACTCGTCGACGTCCGAGTAGCCCCGGACCTCGATGCCGAGCTTGATCTCGCCGACCTTGACCTTGCGGGCGCCGTAGTAGAGCGGATACGAGCGGAACGGCAGGTCGTCGAGAACAGTCTCCAGCTCGGCGTTGACAACTGGGCGTTCGTCACCGATTGACTCGCCGTCCGACGCCATGTCCTCCGGCGAGAGGTCGTCAGATGACGAGTCGAGCTTGAGCCGACGAAGCTTGGTCTCGGGCATGGTGCGGATTGGATTGCCGTCCGAGTCGTACTCGTTGGACCAGAGGAAGAGGCCCGACTGCGAGGACGAGTCGTTGTCGTCGGACTTGCCCCCTTTGCCCCTTTTCCCCTTCTTGTCCTTCTTGCCCTTCTTGCGCTTGCGCTTGCCCTTGCCCGATGCCTTCTCGCGTAGCGTCTTGTTGAGCTCGACGATTTCCTTCTTCTTCTTCCGCTCGGCCTCGACCTTGACTTTGAGCGTCTCGTTCTCGTGCTTGATGTCTTCCATCTGTTGGCGAAGGAGGCGGACGGTCTCATCGTTGGCCACCGTCGGGTCAACTGCCGACCACGAGATGTGGTACTCGGAGAGGTTGGACGAGGTCATGTCCATGCCCGATGACGAGCCGTGGCGCTTGCGCTTAGACTTGGACTTGGACTTGGACTTGGACTTGCGCCGGCGTTTGGCCTTGGCCACAATCGACTCGGAACTCGAGGGCTGCTCAGCCGAATCCGACGCCGGATAGTCACCGTCGGCATCGTACACGCTGTCATCGTCATCGACATCTGCCGAGTAGTCGGAGCCGGACGAGTGCCGCCGGCCGCGGCGTTTGCCGCGGAGCCTACGCTTTGCAGAGGCGTAGGCTTCGACTTTGACAGCGCGGGCCTGCTCGCTAGGACGGTCGACGATGAAGGGGACCCAAGCGTCGAGCGGGACGAGGGCGGCGCCGATAAAGTTGGACTTGCGGTCGTAGACGCGGACGGTGATGGAGGGCGCAAAGACGGCACGAGTGGCAACCTCAACGTCCATGGTCAAGGTCTCCAGAAAGTTGGGGTCTGTTGGCGCCGGGTGCGACGACGCCTTGGTCGTCACCATCGAGTCTGGGCTCGAAACCTGGAGCGTGGCGTGGACGCGCTTGAGCGACTTGAACATGGCATGCGAAACAAGCTCGCGACAGCCGACGACCGAGACAAACAGGCGGGCGTCGCGAAGATCCGGAATAAGCGAGCGCGGCGGCGGGTAGTCGTCGGCCTCGTGGTCGCGAAGAAGCTGGAACGAGAGCAGGAGCTGACCGCGGACGTTTTCGGGCGTGCCGTGAAAGAGGTCGTACCACGACGGCGTGGCAGCGAGGTTGCGCGAGAGTGAGTTGAGCGGGATGGTCAGATGGCCGAGAGTGTCGTCGGAGGAGAGCGCATCGTCGTCGAGAGCCTCGATGTGGAGGAGCGGCGCGAGATCGCGGTCATCGGGGAGCATAACCTTGAGCTCGAGTGTCTGGTACCAGGCCGGCGCAATGGCGCCGTCAAGGACTTTTGTCTTTGCGGCGCCGTTGCCGCAACGGGCCGAGACGTACGGGTCGATGAACTCCTCGTCCTCGTTGTCGAGCGTCGGTGCGAGGTCGCGGCCCTGGTAGACGTGGACGCGGAGGATGTGCGGGTCGAGATCGGGCTTGACAAGGTCGAAGCGCCGCGGGAAGCGGTGTTCCTTGGCCTCATCGCCGGCAGTGAGCTTGAAGAGGGCAAGGCCGGCAAAGTTGTCGCCGTCAAAGGTCGGCTCCATCGGGCGGAGATGGTGCCAGGCCGGCTTGGCCTTGCGACCGGCGGCGAGAAGGTCGTTGAGCGGGAATCGAGCAAAGGCGCGGTCGACGTAGCGAAGGACGGAGCGCTCTTGGACAACAACAAGGACGTCGGGACGGGAGCGAGCGTTGCGGGGGACGGTGACCGAGAGCGCCGGGAGCGAGGTGTAGGCGGCGGCGCGACGGTGTTTGTAGGCGATGCGCGACGAGACGACGGCCTCGTGGCCGGCACAGCGGAGCGAGATGCGCAGCTTGCCGGACGAGTCGTTGCCGAGGACCTCGAGGAGCTCGTAAACGTCGAGCCAGAGGAAGACGCCAATGGCCGGCGGCTCGGAGGCCCAGGCGATGTCCGAGACAGCGTTGACCGGGCGCGGCGCAGGAATGAGCGAGGCCGAGACCAAGAGGGCGCCAAAGTACTCGGTGGCGTAGTCCGAGTGGAAGAGCTTGGCATCCTTGAAATCGGCAAAGGTGTCGTGCGCGTCGGAAAAGCCGTACATGTACAGCCACATGGGCTTGAGCGGCTTTTCAAGGAGCGGCGCAAAGTCGATAAACTGCCGCGAGACGAGATCGTTGGACGAGAGGCGATCGCGGTCCCAGACGGCAACCTCGATGGTAGAGCACATGGTAGGGATGTTGACCGGGAGGAGGATGGCCTGGTTGTACTCGGGGCTGCGGTCCTTCTTGTGGACCTTGGTCTTCCCGCGCTGGCCGGCAAAGGCGACCGAGACAAACGAGTCGATGGATCCGATGCGATCGAGCTTGGGCAGGCCGACGGCCTTGTGGACGTTAAAGGTGAGCTGATGCGGCTCGAGGTCCATGAGCGGCGGCATGAGGACCATGGCCTGCAAGTCCTCGACCGACATGGGATCGTTGGCGTCCTCCTCGGGCGTGTTGCCGTCTCCGGTGATGGCATCTGGCAGCGGGTCGCCCGGCCCAAGCACAGCGATGCCGACCTTGAGGTAGCCCTGGAGGCCCTGGAACTTGGCGAGCTGGGTGAGGCCGATCCATGACCGCAGCTGGCCGTTGTCCTTGGCGTAGATCCAGGGAAGCGAAATGGCGTACTGACCGATGATAGCTTTGGAGCGGAACGAGTTGGCGTCCCATACCTCGAGCAAGATCGACGCGGCCTCAAACTCGGCATCGGTGAGTTTGGCGTTAAAGTGGAGGATCTCGTTCCAGGTGCAGTTGAGGGTGGCCTTGTGGGTGCTTGTGCTCTGACGGGAGGAAAAGGCAGTGACGCGGACAAACGGATCAGCCATGGCGTTGGCATCGCGAGGCTGAAGCTCGCGCGCCTCCTCCACCTTAACCACCAGCCGATACTCGACCCGACCCCGGACATCGTAGTCGTGCTTTGAGCGAGATCTGACCTTTGATCGAGAAATAGCTCTTGCATGCTTCACCTTTTTCCGTTCGGGCATAGACTCTGAGTCTTCAATAAAATGTCCAGCACGTGCACCAGTTCGGCGCCTTTTTCCAGCCCACGATCGACCTGCGCATTGCCCGTCTGTCCACCGCCGCCACTGCCACCGCCACCGGTTCCAGGCGTATTCGCTGCTGCCACGGTCCCTGCTCCACCACCTGGCGGAGCTGTGTTGACTGCTGGCGGGCCTTCAGCTCCTGCCGTGCCGCCTCCTGGTGCTCCTTGACTGGCCATGGTTGCCTAGCTCGCGACTGGCGTCAAGTGGGAGGGAACTGGCTGTTGTGTGTACCTGGCTGCTTCGGCAGTGCGGGTGTGAGAGGGCTGCCGGCGTGGGGTGGGGGGTGGGGGGTGCTGGGAATATTTTTTATAGGGTGGGACATGGGAAATGGGCGCAAGGGGGGGGGGGGGGGGGGGAAGGAGGGGGTGCAGTAGGAGCGGGGATGGGATGATGGAGTGGGATTGGGAGGGAGGGGGTGTAGGGGGGTGTAGGGGGTGTAGGGGTGGTGATGGATGCGAGAGTGAGGTGGAGGGGTGGCTGTCTTACGGCGAGATTTTCGTGGCGGGAGAATGGGGTTTGTTCGTGTACGAGGGATCGTGGACGTGAACGTGGACATGCAGTGTGTGAACGTGTTGTTGTTTGTAGTTGTATATGAGTGTATGTGTGTGCGTGTGCGTATGGGTGCGTATGGATGCGTATGGGTGCGTATGGGTGCGTGTAAGGCGGCGTGGGCGTGGGAAGGAATAATCGCATGTTAAAATGTTCGGCTTGGGCTACTGACCGCGCCGCGAGAGGCACACGGACAAAACAAGGAAGGGATAGGGCAGTGACACGTCTGTGACGGCCTGGATTCAAGCGGCAGATTGTCTTTTGCTTGCACGCGTGGGTGGGCGGGTGGGCGGGCGGGTGGGTGGGCGGGTGGGTGGCATTGGCGAGCGCATAAGTCCGGCTGGATCGGATCGGGGTGGCGGTGATTTCGTGAAGAATTGCAGAAGCTTCGCGAGCACTGATGCACGCCAGAATAAAACAGTGCGGGCGCGCGGCAGGTAGCAGACGGCGATGCGCAGTCGCACAACAACAAAGCCAAGAACAAGACCATCAAGCAAACGCACAATATCAACAAGATGATGCTCACTCCGTTTCGTTCGCACCGCGCCCGGCCGCGGAGCAACTGGCTGATCGACGGGTGGGAGCCGTTCGGCGAGCTCGGCATTGGATCGTGGGACTCGGAGTCATCGCGGCTCTCGTTTGATGTGACCGAGAAGGACGACAAGTACGAGATTGTGGCGCACGTTCCAGTTCCGCGTGACAAAGTCAAGCTCTCTGTTAAGGACGGTGTGGTGACGATCTCGGGCTCGGACTCGTCGTCGTCAACGCGTGAGGTTGACGGATACACGTGCACCTCGTCCTCGTCCTCGTCGTTTTCGCGCTCGTTCCCGCTGCCAGCCGGCATCTCGCCCGAGGCGGTGACGGCAACCCGGGCTGCTGACAACTCGGTCAAGATCGTGATCCCCAAGCCGGAGCCGGGCCAGCACGACGAGCTCGAGGACGTGACGCCGATGCCAATCGAGATCGAACAGTAAATGCTCACCAGCGTTGCAAGAGCAAAGAGTCGGGCAAGCTTGCGGCGCTCAGGCCGGAGCCGAGCCTGTACGGCGCGCCAACGGTCACCAGCCTTGCAGCCGCTTTTCGTGCTCGAGATCCAGCAGAGCTTCCCAAAGCAGCCGCAGGTGCTCGGCGATGCGAGCCATGCAAAAGATAGTGGCCGAGAGCTGGGTCACCAGTGGGGTGTCGAGCTCGGCCTTGACATGGACCGAGCCGCCGGTGTGCTGCCGGTGAACCGAAGCGACGTGGTTGAGGAGGACGGCTTCGTAGGCGGCGCGGAGCTTGGGGGCGGTCTTGGCCATGAACGAGATCAGCATTGCGGTCTCTTCGTCGTACTCGAGGCCACGCGAGAGCGAGGCGGCGAGGTCCAGATCGCGGAGGAGCTTGGCGATCGCTCGCGAGAAGACATGGGCGACGGCGCCGAGCTGCTCGTCGAGGGCGGCCAGGTACTTGACTCGCGATCGGTGGGCCTCGTCGCCAAGGCCCTTGGACGTTAGCTGGTCCATCCACTTGAGAACGTGGACAAGGTCGCGCTGGACCTCGATAACACGGTCCCAGTGCTGGCGCGGGACTGGGGTCCGCCACAGGACCGGCTCGACTTCGCTCAGGCCGAGAATGGCTTCTTGCTTTGCGATGCCGGCCCAGACCGGCTTCATCAGCGCCTTGGTCTGGGGCGACGTCGGATCAGCAATCTCGCGACGGACCGAAATGCCCTGCGGGCCATGACCCGACGACGGCTCGAGCGCCAGCTCTAGCACGCCGTCCATGAGGTCGCCGAGCGAGGCGACGGTCGCGCGCAGGGCGCCGGTCAGCCGGCTCCCGATCCAGGGGCCTGGGGCAACAAGCGTGACAGGGAGGGTGACAGCAATGCCGAGGACGGTCTGCTTGATCCGGGCCAGCGCGTAGGCCTCGTCAGAGACGTCGGGATCCTCGTTGCCAAAGGCGATGAGGGCGGCGGTAAAGGCGGAGACAAGGCCGCCGTACGAGTACTGCGGCGAGGCGCGGATGTAGCCGGAGAGGACGACCCAGGCGGCGATGAGGACAATGACCGCAGGCAAGTAGGCGCCGAGGACCACAACGACAAAGTAAGCAAAGACGGCACCGGCCACGGTGCCCTCCAGCCGCAGAAAGCTCCGCTTGAGCGAGCCGCCCACCGAAGTCTGCATGAGGAAGCAGACGGTGAGCGGAGCCCAGACGGCGTTGCGGCCAAACTCTTGGGTGAGCTCGGGGACAACGACAATGAGCGATGCGATGAGGATGCCGCCGGTCCGCCGGAGCGCAAATGCCGCCCGCGTGCCGCGCGGCGCCTTGCCCAGCACCAAATCAGCAAAGGCAGCAAGCATCGACTGGTGGTCTGTGGCCGCCGGCGCTGGATCTTCCTCGGGCTGGGTCTCGAAAACGGTGGCGAGCGCCATCGTGCGCTCGATCACGTTCCGGAGGGCGAGAATCATGGTCTGCATGTTGATCATGTCTGTTGTGGACGGGAGGTTGGCGTCGAACGAACCGCTCGAGTAGAAGATCTCCTGGCGGGCGCGAGCCATGGCGGCGACCAGCGGCTCGGCCGAGAGCTCGGCTGCCGGCGGGGCGGCCCACACGGAGAGTTCCGAGAGCATCGACGACGACCGCGACCACGAGAGCGGGAGAGCGGTGACAAAGGTCCGGGTCGCTGCGGCGAGCTCGTTGAGCGGCGCAGCTATGTACGGCCGAAAGGCCTCGAGGTAGCGGAGCTTGACAACGTCGTTGGTCAGGGTAGTCTCGAGGCATCGGAGGGTGAGAACAAGCTCATGGAAGGCCTTGAGCAGCCGACCGTAAGCCGCGGCCCGCTTGTGGCGGCCGGAATGGAGAAAGAGCGCAGGGTCCCAAGCAAGCCACGCGTGGTGCTTCTGGGCGAGCTCCATCTGCGACTCGAGGAGGACAAAGAGCGCCCGCGCCCGCTGGCGCTGGAGATCGGCCCGGAACTGGGTGCCGGACGATTGGACAAGGAACGAGTCGACAAGGGCGGTAAAGAGCGAGGCAACGGTCTGGGTTGACGCCAGCAGGATGTCGTCGAGGCGCGCGGCGTCCGAGTGCGGGAACGGGAGCGCCGCAAGTACGCCGGTGATGATGCCGAGCGTAATGGAGAAAACAACCTTGACGGCGGCGAGGTAGTCGAAGATCGGTGGCGCGGTGGCGGCCGCCGATGAGAGCGAGTGTGCAATGACCGGAACAAGGGCGATGATGATGAGAAAGTTGTCGCGGAGGAGGAACGAGGTGCCGAAGAGTGCCACCGCAAAGGCCACCATCTGAGCCCAGACGCGGGCCGGCGAGTCTGATGCCAGCAGCGCCAGCGGAATGAACTGGGTGATGAGCGCGACAGCGGCGCCAACAGCGGCGCCGATGATGCCAAGCGCGCCCGAGCGCAGCGTCTGGGCCAGCGACGCGTTGACGATGATGACCGCAAAGACCGGGATGAGGAAGGGGGCGGCCACAATCTGACGGATGGGCTCCCACGACGCCGCCAGGCCTGCCGCCGCCACTGCCGCGCCCATGCGGAGGCTCCATACCATAGCCCGGACAAACGGCCGGGTGAGCGGGCGACGGCGAGGCGGCGGCGAGCGGATGAGTGATCGGGCCAACATGGCTTGCCGCTGCGAACCGCTTCCGTCGCCAGCTTGAGTCTCCGACATGACCTGTCCTCGGCCCTCGCTCAGCTCATCTAATTCGGGCGGAACCATAAGCGGCGAGTCGAAGACCGGAACCTTGAACTGGCCGCTCATGGAGAGGTGACGCATGCCCGCAGGAGCACTCGCCGGCGGGAGCTCACCGTGGGTCATCTTGAGCGCATTGTCGGACGAGGAGTTTGCCGACAACAAGTTGTTGCCATTCATGTTAATGGCATGATGTGGGTTGTCGTGGATGATCGTGTTTGAGCTGTCCGATGACGATTCATAGTACGACGAATCGCCAGAAAAAGTGGCCAAATCAATCGCTGCATGCAAGCCGGGCGTCGCCGGCACGCCTCTCTGGCTGGCCACGTGGCTGACTGTTTCGAGCTCGTTTGAGTAGTATGATGACCTCAGCGTGTTTTCACCCGAGTTGCTTGTAGAAGAGACACTCGACATGACTCACACCGAGTTTGGTGCAAGTACTACCAGTTTCTACACTCTTTCTTGCCTCTGCCGGCGTCGAGTGTCTGTCCCGTCCAGCGCAGCGCTTGATGTCGCCAGCGATCGATCGGCCGGCGATCGATCGGCCGCTGGTCGATGAGCCGGCGATGGTGATGATGATGACGATGGGTGTGTTTGGTTGACAGTGGCAGTCTGCTGTGGCTGGCTATGGAGAGGAGGGGCGAGTGGTCTCGGCGTCGGCGACCCAGGTGATGATGTCGAGCGGATCAAGGCGACGATACGGGTTGGCGGTTGGTCGCGGGGCAAGGTCAAGCCAGGTCTCGACGAGATCGGCCGGTTCGAGGCCGAGCCAGCTGGCGGCGAGGGCGCGAGTGTCTGCGGCCGGCACGCCGTCGGCACCACCTTCGGTAGGGGCGCGAACCATGAGCGAGACGGCGCGGATGCGGCGGCCCGGCGCGATGTCGCGGGCCTCGATGCTGACGAGGACAAGCGAGTCGGGCATGGCGGCGAGGGCGGAGGCAAGGCCGTCCAGCTGTGGAGGAGAGGCAGCGTAGAGGAGGATGGGTGGAGCAGCAGCGGTGGCAAAGGCGGAGCGGGCGTTACGGGCGAGACGTCGACGCCGAGGTCGAGGACGGTGACGGCGGGCTTGCCGTCGTCAGCGCCGTCGTTGAGCCCGCGAAAGTCGTCGACGCCGGGCGAGCGATGAAGAAAGAGGTCGAGATCGTAAGGGGTGAGGGCGGCGAGGCCGGCTGGGCGGTGGCTGAAGACGGCCAGCCGCGAGAAGAGAGCTCCTCCAACGGTGGGGAAGACGTTTCCGGAGAAGAGGCGGCTTGTGGCCGCGGTTCGTGGCACGAGCTGGACGCCGTCGTCGGTGAGCAGTTGCGAGGCGGCCGGGACCCGGATGCGGAGCGCGGTCTCGAGGCCCGGCGCGTGCGGGACGCCGATCTCGTACCGCAGCGGTAGCGCGATGCGTCCAGAAAAGGCGAGGCGGGCGACGACAGAGATGCCTGACGGGACCTCAAAGGCGCGGAGGAGATAGAGCTCGCCGTTCTCCACGGCGACTTGCTTCGCGCCATCGAGCGGCATGGGCACTGCGAGCCAGGTCGGCGCACAAAAGATGAGCCAAAGCACGCCGAGCGTGGCGCCGACTACCATGGCGGCTGCCGTCGCCAGCGTTTCCAGCTGCCGGCTGCGAATCATGCCGTCCGGCAGCGAGAGGTGGAGGAAGAAGAGAGCGAGGGAGGCTGCAGCGAGGCCGAGAGCAACCACGTGGTCTTCGCGAGCATCCAGCCGGACGATGGCGACGAGAACGAGTCCGCCGAGGACAGCGCTAACGAGGGCAGCGACGCCTCCGCGGAGGACTGGAAGCGGGATTGGGCTGAGATCTCGCGGCGGCTGTAGGTGGCGAATGCTCTGGCCAGCGCCGAGCTCGGCGTCAAAGATTAGGACGTCGTCGTCGGCCTTGAGCTTGTGCTTGGGCCGGCGGATGGCCCATGCGTAGCGGAAGCAGCAGCGCGCGGCAAGGGCGGGGCCGAGGGTTGCGGCGAGGACAACGATGGCAAAGGCGGCGCCGCTCATGATCCAGTACCACTTGCCGAGCTGCGGCTTGAAGAGGTAGGCGCCCGAGGCCGGGGCCACGTAGTTGACGATGGTCGACTCGAGGTTGAGGGCGTCGAGGACTACGAGCATGCCGGCGGCAGATGTGGCAAGGGCATGCGAGACGACGGAGCGGACGCCCGGCGGTGGCGGCGGGAGCGGCGGCAGGGCGGACCGAGTCAGAGTGATCTCGACGGCGAGGCCCGCGAGCGGCTGCAAGACGAGCTCGACGGCGACGCTGTGGCGGAAGCGCGAGAGTTGGTGGCGGATGACAGGCCCGCCTACGATGCGGACCCGGACAGCGAGGTCGTCGTCGGCAGGCAGGTCCCATGCCTGGGGCAGGGCCAGATCAACGAGCTCGGTCCGCACGATTGGCAGCGGATTGACGACGACGACGTAGAGGGTGACTGAGGCTTCGGAGCCCGGCGGTGGGAGGCGCGAGGCCGCGTTGGCAATGGGGTCCCAGGCTGCGGCGTCCGGGCTTGAGGAGAGCGGAGTGTCGGGGCGAGGACGGCGAGGGAGGCGCGAGAAGCGGCGAGGATGTCAGCGGCGCGATTGGCGTAGTCTGCGGCGACAGCTGGGCGGCACGTACCCGTGATGGCGTCGTGGTGGGCGAGGATGGATGCAGAGCGGCGGATGGCGGCCGCATTGGAGGGGAGCGCGGCGGGGGCGTGAACGGCGAGCAGGGCGTCGGCGGCGGCGAGGGCAGCCCAGGCTTGAGCGATGGCGGCCTTGAGGCTCGCCCGGGTAGTATAGGTTCCGGACCAGTGCTCCAGCGCCTGGTCCGAGTAGGTCATGTAGTCCGAGTCGCGCGGGCGGCGGGCGAGCGGACGCGATGTGGCGTCGGCCACAGCTCGCATGTACGCGGGAATGGTCGAGTAGCCAAAGGTGAAGCCATCGAGGGCCGCCGGCGAGCCAGGGCGGGCGAGCTCTGCGAGGAGGGCGTCCATCACGGTGTAGAGCTGAGGCGTGGTGTATCGAAAGTCGTCGCCGTACATCAGGAGAAGGTGTGGGGTTGGATGAGCGGCAGCGCGGTGACGGGCGAGGCCGGCCAGCTCGGCGGCCTTGGCCACGACTTGGTCTGAGTCTTCGAGATCAAAGGCAACGTTGGCCTTTTCAAAGTCAAAGCCAGGCGGCGAGGAGTAGTGATCAAAGAGAAGGGAGACCGGGAGGTCGCCCCAGACAAAGTCGAGGCTGGCGTTATCAATGACAGCCTTCTTCTCGGAGCGCGGGACGCGGTTGATGATGGCGCCGTCCCAGTTGAGGGCCTTGGCGAGGACCGGAAGTGATGCAGCGTGACCAAAGGGATCAATCTGGTACCCGTAAACGCCGCTCTTCCTCCAAGCCAGGGCAGCGCCAGAAGGACACTGCAGCGAGTCGAGATAGGTTGCTCCGTTGCGGTAGTTGGCAGCATGGACGGCCAGCGGGACGAGAGCCTCGTCGGCCATGACCCAACCCGCGCCAACGATGGCCATGGCCTCACTCTCCACCGCCTGACACAGTTTGCCAAGGTGATGGCTGTCGCTCACTTGCAGGGCATGAGCCAGAAAGGTGATGGAGGACATAGTGAAGGTTCTCCGAGGCGATGATGACGATGATGACGATGATGATTGAAACTTTGCAAAGAGAGGTCATTTGCATGCACTTTGTCAGCCGAGCCAGGAGAGGTCAAGATGGAGAGCTCCAAGGCCCTTGCCACGACGTTGTTGAGGATGTGGTCGGTGGTGGTCAGGCACTCGCTGTGGGTGACGAGCCAGCCAGCGTCCATATGAGAGTGAGGTACAATATGAACATGCACAGCATGGATACACACCATGCATGCCATGCCAATGACCATAATGGCAGTCGTAAAGGTAGTCATAATGGTGGGACTCGTCATGGCGTGGAGTGCGGAGACGTGGGCGTGAGCGTGGGTGGGTGCTGGCAGGGGGGGGGAGGGTGGGGATCAGTCACTCGGGCGCGATGGGGGTGGGGTGGGGGGGGATGTGAGGGATGGGAAATGAACAATCTGGGGTGGCGATGGGTGGTCTGGGGTGGCGATGGGCGGTCTGGGGTGGCGATGGGCAATCTGGGGTGGCGATGGGCGATCTGGGGTGGTGATGGGTATGGGTGTGGGCGATCAGGGAGGGGGATGGGTGTGGGCGATCGGGGAGGGATGGGGGATGGGCGATCGGGGAGTGGGATGGGGGATGGGCGATCGGGGAGGTATACGGGTGTGGGCAATCGGAGGGTGGGGATCGTCAGGTTTCATCCCTCTTTCCTCTCCTTTCCCTTTCCGTCGTATCACTATCACTTTATCTCGCCGATACACAGCATTGTGATCCGGTTGATCCCCTCTTTTGCGGCGACCCGCCTGCTCGCACTCGGCTCGTAGCTCGCTATCGCCAAGCCCTAGCTGTATCCCATCAGCATTAGCCATACTTTAGTACTATAACAACGATTTTATTTGATTTCTAGAGTCATATCTGCCTTATCCCTCCCATGCGTCGTCCATCAGTCCCTCACTCATGTCCGACGGGATCGATCTCTCTCCGCGACCGCAAGTGACGACAGCGACGACGAGGCAGGTCACGTACAAGGCCCAGGCCACCACCTGACTCAATCCCACCACACATGGACCCTCCCGCCAAGGTGCAGAAGTCGTCTTCCACGTATGCATCCACAGCCATCCCCCATACGCCCTCTCCCCCCCACTCTCCGTCTCGCCATTCCCCCCCCCCCCCCCCCTCTCCCCGTCACCTCGGCCGGCCCAAGCCCAACCCCGTCCGCCCCAATACTACCGATTCCGGTGTCGATTCTACGACCTTTATATATATATATATATATATATATATATATATATATATATATATATATATATATATATATATATATATATATATATATATATATATATATATATATATATATATATATATATATATATATATATATATATATATATATATATATATATATATATATATATATATATATATATATATATATATATAT